GTCCTTTCATAAAGTGCTTAGGACTGGGCTTGGCTCACCATAGGTACTAAGTAAATAGTGGTGGTAGTGTGCCTTCAAATCAGTTCCGACTCACAGCAACTCTGTATAGGGTTTCCAAGGCTGTAAATCTTTATGGGAACAGAAAGCCTCATTTTCTCCTGCTGATCGGCTGGTGTTTTGAGCAGTCCATTGCCTATCCTACAGCACCACCAGAGGTCCAGCTACTACTATTACCCCTACGCCAAAACCATGAAGTTGGATCTGACTCATGAATGATCCCTAATGTGTCAGAGTAGAACAAAACTCCATAGGATTTCCAATGGCTGATTTTTTTTAAGTAGATCTTCTAAGGTGCCTCTGGGTAGACTCAAACCTACAGACTTTCAGTCAGCAGACACGCATGTGAACTCTTTGCACTACCCAGAAACTCATACCCATTGGTTGGTGTTTCAGATTTTTATGCTAATGAGTCAATGAGACTCATTAAATCAAGAAATACATAAGAAATATTGTTATATTGCTGTTAAGCCCCATCGAGTTGATTCCGACTCATAGCAATCCTGTATAGGGTTCCAGAGGAATGGGTGATGAGTTTGAACCACCAAACCTGCTGTTCAAACAGACCTTTCAGTCCAGTACTTACCCTATAGCACCATACCAGGACTCCTAAGTAATACTGTTGTTGCCATTAAATGCCATCAAATAAGTGCAAACTCACAGCAACCCTGTACAGGGTTTCCAAGGAGCAGCTAGTGAGTTTGAACTTCCAAGCCTGCAGTTCAAACCGACCTTTTGGTCCTGCAGCGCCACACCAGGACTCCCCTAAGAAATATAAGCTGGAAATAACAGTAAATGCACAATCTAACAGAGAATGCTCCTAAATTTTGGGTGAAATATAAGGGTTCCAGTTCGTACATATGTAGGTTTATTCCAAACAAAACCAGTTCAAACAAAAAGGGTTCAAACATGGCTCTACGACCAGTACTTTCAGTAATACACTGATGGAGTCCTGGTGTGGCGCTGTGGGTTAATGTGCCAGACTGCAAAGCCGTTTGAACTGCAAGGTCAGTGGTTCAAGCTCACCAGATGCTCCTCGAAAACCCTGCACAGGGTCACTATGGGTCAGAACCAACTCGATGGCACTTAACAACAAGTCACCTTAGAGTACCTTCAAAACAAAGGAATCATCAAAGCAGTGGCTTCCTAGAGGGTCTGATGGGTCAATTACAGTCAACTGAGAATGCTATGGTGATGCTTTGGGGGGATTCTAAAAGGGTAATCTTGAGAGATTTTCTCTAAAGACAAGATGATCATGGGATCTTATTACTACTGAAAAGTCTTACGGAAATTGAGAAATTGGTGAGGAAATGGTCAAGAAAACTGCACTAAGGAATTTTTTTCCATGACAATACATCATTCTTTGAAAGCAGCAAGGACTGTCCTAAGATAATTTCACTGGGGAACCTAACCCCATCCATCCTGATCTTGCCCCTTCAGACTTCTTTTTGTTCCCTAAATTCAAAGAGTACTGAAAAGGGACACAATTTGAGTCCCTTGATGATGATGTGGTAAGAACCTAAGAGTGCAGAATTTGGGAAGGGTTAGTGCGATGAAAACACCAGCTTCAGAAGTGTATAGACCTAGATGGAGGAGATGTTGAGAAACAACAGCTTCATATTTTGATATTTTTGTTTAATAAATGTTGCTATGATTTTGTAGCAATGCTTTTTTACTTACCCTCATAATTACCACCATAACCAACACACATACAATGTCACATACTTTAGTCACAGTTTTTCAGATTTTGTTCAGGAACCAATTCAGTGTGGTAGTACTTTTGGATTGATTGATTTGGAAGAAGGAAATGAGTAGGAAAGGAACCTGGGCTAAGACTTGGAAATCGTGACTGTAATTTGAATTTGTAATTTGAATTATTAGAAACTGGAATTCTGCCCTTCTCACTAGGAAACTGGGCAGGACCTGACCCAGACTTGGGATCGGACCCCATGCAGCTACCCATAGATGGGGATGACTGTTGGAAACAGGAGAATGGAGCTCACCACAAATACCTGATTTTGATTTAAATGTCTATTAATCAGGCACCTGCACCAACCACCCACTTAATTAAGCTGTTTTTGAATTATTTATTATCTTCCCCTGAGTGGGGGAAGAGTTTTTCTTCATGGTCGCCTGCTCTGCTTCAAGCACTAGTGCACAGAACTCCAAGCACCACGGTGCTTCCTGGAGCTCTCAAGCACTCATCCTACCTCTGGCCCAGGCAAACTTGGAAAGGGATAGCATGGAAGCAGTTATCAAGAAAGGGAGTCGTTATCCTTCTGAAATGCAAACAACTCCCAAAATCCAGGGCAAAGTAAGCGACTTTAAAACACATTGTTGTTGTTAAGCGCTGTCAAATCCAGTCTGACTTTTATAGCAACACTGTATGGGGTGAGCATGAACCACTGCCCTTGCGATTCAAACTGACCTTGCAGTCCAGGGCATTAGCCCCCAGCACCACACCAGGCCTCCTTGTTCTTGACGTTATTAAGCGCCACTGAGTTGGTTCCGACCCACAACAACCCTGTATAGGGTTTCTGAGGAGCAGCTGGTAAGCTTGCACAGCCAACCTTGCAGTTCAAAGGGCTTTGCAGTCTGACGAATTAACCCACAGCGCCACACCAGGACTCCTTAGCAGAGGTGTTTTTATGTTTTGAAGCTCCTGAGCATATTCTTTTTTTCTCTGCCTTTTCCCATTCTAAATTATGTAAAATTGCATTTTTCCTTGACAACTGTCAACAACCTAAACACTCCCAAAAATTAAACCCAGCATTCCAGGGCAGAAGAAGAAGAGAGAGTAAAATACCTGTACTCCTAGCTCCTAGGAATTTTGGTCAACAATCCCTGTGTCCGAACCTTGCTCTCCTACCCCAAGGCTTCCAAACCAACCAAATCACAGTTACACAAATCTTAGAAATATGGAGTCAGAGGACACCCAGGTCAACTTTTCCACTACAGAGATGACAAAGTCCAGCAAGTTCTTTCCTAAAGGTACAGGGTTAGAGAAGTTCCTGAGTGGCACAAATGATTAAGTGCTGGACTAATAACCTAAAGGTTAGTGGTTCAAATCCACCCTGAGGCACCTTGAAAGACACCTTGATCTACTTTTGAACGGTGGCCTGGAAACCCCTTTGAAGAAGTTCTACACTGTACACATGGGGTCAGAATGGACTGAAGGGGAACTAACAATAACATGACCAGAAGCTGTTTCTGCTCTTGGGGTTCAGTCAGAAAGATAGGGAGCAGGAGGTGCTCAAGCTGAACTCCTTAGCTGCTTAAGGACAACCCTCAAGAAACCACTTGCACAAAACACCGGCATCTCACACAAACCTGCAATTTTCCTCTGGTCTTCAACTGGGTCTTCCTTTCCTAGTGCATGTGTGTTCTCTAATGTTCACTGGAACCATGCCTCCAGGCAGGGGGGCAGATTACTGAATAAGGAGGTAAGCACAGGCTTACTTGTGCTTACTAATCTGTATTGTTTTTACATCATGTGGTGAAAACCTATGAAACTGTTTACTACAAATGAGTAGCTGAGCATAAGTAAGCCCATGCTTAGCACTTAGTGTTCTTACTAGGTATTCTGTTCCTCTCAGGGTCTATGAATTTGAAAAGAGGCTTTGATTCTGTAGGAAGGTTACTATGGGATTAAGAGAGAGACAGATGCCAGCCATTCCTACAAGCAGAATTTTTTGATGTGATGAAAAACTGTGGAATTGTTCACCACAGATTAAGCACAAGTAAGCCTGTGTTTACCTTGCTTGTTGAGTAATTAATACAACACTGCCTCTCCTGGTTCAGCTCAAGGTCCTTCCCTGGTACCTGCACTTGCTGGTCAGGGAAGACTGTTTCTGTGCTGCTCCCCCTAAAGCGCTTGACCTTGGCCCTTCGTCCCAGCAACCTTCCGCTGTTTATACAGGGACAGGGAGTTTATACAGCCTCCGAGGATGGAGCCCTGAGAGTTAAATTCACTTGTCAAGTATTACAATCTTTAGGAGAACTCACAGGTCCTCAGTTTGCTCTCTTCCATTCTTCACACTTACTCTGTTCAAAAGCTTTGTGTCCCTTATTTCCATACCATGTCCGGGTCCTGCGGAATTGGGACCCATGTCTACCCTGACCCTGGGCCACCGTTGGTGATGCAGCCCCATGAAGCAAGGCAGGGAGGCTTGTGCCAGTCCCCACTGCTGGAGAATGAGGCTGAAAGCTGGTCTAGCCGCCGGCAGGGCACCTTCAGGCTTGGATGGTGCGAACTTCAGGAGGGTGGAGGAAACCTTCTTCATTCTCTTGACTCTGCCAGCATCTCTCTGCACTCCTCTGTTCCATGTCCTTAATGATCCCTCTCATTCCCCAAATCTCCGTCCCCTCGCTATTCTCTCTCCCTCCAGTTCGACGCCCAGCACCTTTGTAGTTTCTCTGCCCTCCCCGTCCTAGTATCTCTCTACTTCCTCTTACAAGGCGCTCCCGTCGTGTTTCCACTTTGTCACCAATTATGTCTAAATGCAACCCACCACAGATGCTGACATTTTAAATGTTTAGTTGTTATAGTTACTTGACTAATTGCTGGGCCCGACGGCGGCGCTTCTCCTTCGCCTCCCGCGGGCAAGAGAGGAGGGGGCGGAGATAGGCTAGGGTGGGGGGAGATGGATCCAAGTTGTAACCGCCACTCCCCGGATCCGGGAAGCCCGCCCCGAGAACAAAGGTGCCTGCGGCCTCCCTGCCAGTTCCTAGGGCGCTCCCGGCGCAGCCTAGCCTCAGGATCCGGTGAACTGTCTCCTGCCCCGGGACAAGAGAGCCGGGACGTGACAATTAACCGCCAAGTCAGCTCACACAGTAGAAAGTGAGGAAGTAAGGTGGCATTTTAGAAAAGTTGGGGCGAGGCGGTGGAGAGGGGCCCGTTTGGGGAGAAGGAAAAGAGTTAGAAACCGCTACCGGTTACTTACATGCCAGATGGCGAAGAAGATGAGCGCAGCGCAAAGCACCAGCGAGAGCATGTAGCAGAAAGCAGCAAAAGTGAAGGCCATGGTCGGCTGCCCGGGGCTGCCCGAACCCCTACTCCCACCTCACGCCAAGAAGACCGGAGGAGGCCAATGCCTTTCTCTAGACCCGCACTCCCTCAAAGGGCGGGGGGGGCGGCGGCAACAAGAAGGAGCCAAGTCTGTACCCTCAGCTCGGGGCCAGTGGCTAGAACAAGGCACGCCAAGCAGAGACTCGAAGACCAGTGGAGAGAAGAGGGATTCCCGTAGACTCTGGAGACCCGGGACGCCGGCCCTTCAGCGAAGCCAAGGAAAGGTGCGAGCGTCGTAGGCGGGAACTGTCCCCAGATCGAATGAGAAATCAGAGAAGTCCTGCAAATTAATGCCAACCTGCGAGCCCCTCAAGGTAATCACGGCAAGGATTGTGAGGACCTGTCCCCACGCCTCCTCGGGAGAAAGGCAGGTGGGATCCCTTGGCCGAGCTTTCTGCTCTCCGTTCCGAAGCCCGAGAGGCAAGGAGGGCGCGCCTCTCAGGACCCCTCGCGCCACTAGTGAGCAAACTGAGAGCGTCCTGCAAGATGTCCGGGCAGACTCCGAGCTCCTCCCGAATTCCAGAGCCTGCAGCGGCTCTCTCTCACTCTCGGGAGAATAGGTCTTCTAAGTGGACGAAGAAGACGTAAGGCTCTCTTGCCCTTAGTCCAGTGCCCTAAATGCAGCTTCCACCATTCCAGTCTCGGCTCCAACCCCGCGGCCCCTGCCCGCCGGCCTCGGTTATCCAAGTTTCCTAGACACTGGAGTCGAATCGGGGAGAGCGCGGCCCTACGCCCGCTTCGGCGGCTGGAGCGGCGGCTATAAAGCCAAGTACTGCTAGCGGCAGAGAGCTCGCTCCACCTGCTGCTGCTGCTGCCGCCTCTGCCGCTGCGAGAAGTGAAACGGCGCGTCCCAGGATCCCCTTCCTCCCGCTCGGTGCCCCACCCTCGGCTCCGGCTCCGCCGAGCACGCCCTCCCCGGCGGGCGGAGACTGCGGCGGTCGGGGCTCCCGCAAGGTGGTAGACAAGACGCCACTGGGTGCTCAGTGGTCATTCGCGCTACAACCGTGCGCGCCAACCTCTCGGACGAAACTTGAGTTCAGCAGCGCGGGCGCGGGGGCGGGCCGGGCGGACACGTCGACGTGGGGAGACGTAGGAGAGCAGTAGGGACTCTTTAAACACGTGTGTGTGGAGATGGGAAGCTGCGGAAGGGTATGGTGTATGGCGCGCACTAAACGCGGTCCTCTTCGTTTTGCCTATGGGAGCTATAGGTGCGGGCTTTATCTTGTTTGGTTGGCGATTACAAGACCAAGCCCTAGGGCCTCAGGAGAGCTCGGGTGGATTTTCCAAAAGTGGGTTAAACCTTGAGCTGCCTACCGAACGGTGGGCGGTTCGAAGTCATCATTCCACAAAATGGGTGGCAATCTGCGTCTGTTAAGATATACTGCCTCCGAAACCTCATAGAGCAGTTCTAGTCTGTCCTATAGGGTCGCTATTCCGAATCCACTCAAAGGCGAAGCGTAGTGCTCTCACTCCCTATAAAATTCTCCGTTAGCTTTCTGGGTTCCCTTTCCTCCCCATCTGACTTTGGGACTGGAGGAAACCGAGACTTGGTGGACTGTTCTATACTGAAGCAGCAGCAGTAATGGCTGGGTGTTATTGGTGTAGTGCAACTGTCAAAGAGCATGTGCTTTTGGAGTCACCCCTTTGGAACTGCATAATCTAAATCCAGGTTTCCTTATCTGAAAAACAAGGATAAGAGTAGTAACAACGTTATAAAGGATTAAACCGGAATGTGAGTAAAGAGCCTACCACAGCCCTACACTCTTGATTCAAAATGGCCAATACCTGTCTATTTCAGCTAATACTTCAGATATAATCATTTTTTAATGGATTTTTGCAGCTGTTTCTTCTCATTTTGAGTTGTGCCACAACATCAAATGAAGGTCCCAAAAGCTTTGCTCCACTCATGTCATTAAGACCAACTCTACTTTGAGGAAGCATCTCTTCCTCAGCCATATTTTGTGTGCTTCCAATCTGAGGGGCTCATCTTCCGTCACTATTATCGGACAATGTTCTGCTCCTATTCCTAAGGTTTTCAGTGGTTGTTGTTGATGTCAGGTGCCATCAAGTCGGAACCGACTCATAGCGAACCCATGCACAGCAGAACGAAACAATGTCCGATCCTGAGCCAACCTCACTACCGCCGCCACACT